ATACAAATTTGATGCACAAACTGATAATTTTGGATGCCTCCTTTACAAAATGCAGTTACATTTATTTGTTTTGGTTGGCTCTCTAATGTCCCCGAGGCACCCCACCACAACGCAATGCCCACAGCACTGAAACATCCTCAGAAAAGACTGCTGAAGCAACCGCAGCTGCTCTTTAGTTTGGCTGTCCGATACTGTTCCTTGGTCGACCGAGGCACACTTACCACTAGTGCCATCTCTGTCCATTTTAGGAGTGTGTGTCCTCCGGAGGGCCCCCAGCAAGTTTCAAGCGGAGCTTTTCCATCGGGGCAATCTGCCGCAGTGACCACAGCTGTTGGTAAGTTTGGCAGTTCGATACTCTTTGCAGGTCAACTGAGGCTCACCTATCACTAGTGCCATATTTGTCGATTCTAGGCGAGTGTGTCCTCCTGAGGCCCCCCGGAAGTTCCAAGCGGTGCTGTACAGAACCTGACTTTTCCAGCTTCCCGAGCAGCCTGGTTCGGCAACCCCCCTCCCCTCCTTCAGCTGCTGGTGAGTTTAGCACAATGATAGTGTTTCCAAGTCGACCGAGGCACACCTACAACGACTGTCGTCTGTGTTCATTTTTTTCATTCTAGAAGTGTGTACCATCCCATGGCTGCCTGAACAAGGTCTGAGCAGTGCCCTACAGGCCCTTGCTTCTCCAGCTTGTCCTGGACAGATTTCTGCAGCAACAGCTGATGAGTTTTCATTTATGACGACTGTTTATTTCCTGGCAGAGTGCAGACAGTTACACACTGTTACTTACATTTGATCTTATTTCTCACTGGTAGCCACTTGACAAGACTAAATAATAGTCTTTTTTTTCTTTTTCAAGCACACTGTTTACACTTGGCATCAGGCAGTATCATCAGACTGCCAGTTTTTCAGGTGTACTGATGAATAACAAAGAGCTACAATGAAATTCAATGCAGATAAAACTGATATTGGCGCAATGACAGGAGTACCAGTTGCAACGTGAAGAGAACAATTTACAATTTGGACTTAAGCGCTTTCTCGCTGCAGATCAACTTAAGTGTCTCGAAAAGTCCAGTATGAAGGGGAATGCATGGAGTAAAGGGATCCTCGAGAAACTTTTAATATTCATCTTTCTTGTGTTTCCCATGGTTTCAATTTGGTACTGGGGAATCGGGGTAGCTTTTGCCTGTAGAATGTACACTTCATTGGCATCTACAGGACTTCAACTTTGTGTCAGACATAATGCACAAGCTGATGGATCCTTTAGCATCCGAGGTGAGCCAAACTTGCAGCATATAACACACTCGTGCATCCTTATCTTAAATAGGCATCTCAAGTTGGATACCTGCATACCCATCTCATCAAGTAGCTCGATGTTGAATTCCATGTGGTTTGTACAATTTATTGTCTACAGGTGTACCGTACCAGTTACAGCATTAGAAGGTGTAAGGGCTTTAGAAGTATTTTATGATATGTAAAAGTGACTGCACCTGTCAGTAAAGCTACCCACACGTTTGTAAAGTGTTAAGAAAGCATCTGGATTGTGTATGGTGTGTCTCCGTGTCATATATCTTATTTTTCATTCTGTGATTTCTTGTTATGTACTCAGCCTGTGTTCTACTTGTAGTGAATGCTCCTGCCGTGGCCTTTTGCTTGGTTGGCAGTTATGTAAAATAAATAAAATTGTGACTTTAATTTTGTTATTTTTAACATCATCCGTGCTTGTGTATTTTCATGGAGATTTTGATCTCGCATTCGCTTATTTGGCATTGTTCTCTGGGTGTGATTTGAATTATTGTTGCCTCATTCCCATTCACTGAAATAATCTGCAATTGCTTGACTCCAGAACTAGGTGCTGAAACCGAGCGCTAGTTTCCAAGTCTGTACCAGGACGCTGGCCCAGGAGTCTAAAAGCAGTGTAAATCGTAAGTAAACCTGGATTTTCTTAGTATCAACGAATAACAGAAACGATAGAGACACTCTGATAAAATTACGGGGTAACAAAAATACACGAAAACGGAGTTTTCATTTTTAAAAACGGTTTCATCAAATAAGATAACGAAAATTATACGCTCGGGAAAGTAGCGGCACCGCGTAGCCCCGTAGCGAAAGGCCCGCGGTGTCGCTAATTTTTACAGCATGCACAGCAATACGTATCAATTTTTATCATTACTAGTACTGCAGGCAGCTTCAAAGTGCTAGCTTAGCGTCAACCACATCAATACTTCCCCTATTAGAAAGAAAATAGTATCTTGCTTTCTAGGCCGCCAAATTGTTTTTAGCGCCCGTAGGCCAGACCCCCCCCGAAAGCTCGCTAAGGACACGTATTAAGAAGTAGTCAATCATTTGCAATCGTGGAGAATAAAATTGCAATATCGCGGTTTTATATGATAATTAAGCTGAACACTCGCGAGAGACTGACCTAATGCAACTCGGTAGGGGCGATTATCCAAAGTACTTTCGGGATGCACGGTTGGACGAACAGATCTACAGAGGCTTCAGGGCGGTCAGATGCGAATCCGGGCTCTAAATGAGGTTATTGCCACACTTGTATTATAAGAAAAGTCCACTCGATCGGCAACTCGCCCGCTCCAGCTGTGAAGTCGAACACTCGCGAGACACTGACCCAATGCAACTCGGTAGGGACGATTATCCAAAGCACTTGTCAGGTCCGCGGTTGGACGAACAGATCTAGAGCGACTTCAGGACGATCCGATACGAATGCGGGCTCTAGATGAGACGAAAGTAATCCCTGGAGAAGGGGAACAAGAGGGACAAAGGACAAACATAAATCTCCAAACACAGCTAGGTGACCGGTGAGCGACCGATGTTTGTCATTTGTCCCTCTTGTTCCCCTTCTCCAGGGATTACTTTCGTCATTCTTGTCGAGCTCGCTTGCACCTTTGCATTTAATTGCATTATAATTCTAAATGAGGTCACTGCCACGCTGGTCTGACGAGAAAAGTCCACACGATCGGCATCTCGACCGCTTCAGCTGACCAAGACGTCGAGACGCTTGGGAAATTCCAGAGGGCGCCTCCGTCGCAAACCGGAAGTTAGAGGTGGGGTAAGGAGGTGGGGTAAGGAGGCCTTGCTTGCGGTTCTGCCCGCTCCAAGCTCTGTTGGGTATGTTGGCCGTCTGACCGCAATCAATAAAGGCGCCTTGCGTTTCTTTTTCCTCTATCTAACGAGATCGACGAGTACATTTGTTTTCAACGAATGCGTTGACTATGGACCACTTCGCCTGTCTGTACATTTTTACGAAGAATGAACGGTGGATTTTGCCGTGGAGCTTGTTGTGACTGACGGCACAGTTGAAGCTCTCTTCGACCATTGAGAAAGTAGAAACAGTTACACTATGCTAGGGTTTATGCTATATGCAGTACCGGCAATAAATTCAGAAAATATTCGAGACCAAGTTACAGTTAAGGCAATCGTTTGTTTAACCTGCTCGGAAATTTTAATTGACAAGGTGTATTCTCATAATTGTGAAGGCTTCTTCTAAAATCGTCCGAAAACCTCGGAGCCTGCACGTATCAATGTAATTTTCTTGTCAAAAGTGTATTTCAGTGTTGGCTTTTGTGAAATTTCAAAAACGTAGCTTAATGCCCGTGAAAAATGAGACCTACAAACTTGTCCGGGTCAACGGCGGACGCGTTCGGGACTACTAAATCGTTTGCGAGCGCCGCTGACCCTGGCAAGTTTGTTAGTCTTGTCCTTTTACTGGAAGGGAGTAACACTTTGAAAGTTGACAAGGTCAAATTAATCACTAAAACACTTCCCTATTAAATATTTAAGATGTATACGTGCAGCGCCGATTTCTGAGCGAGCCTCGGCATTGATATCACCCCACTTCAGGCTACAGCTGTGTATAACTGTAGGTCCTGAAGAAAAAAGACAAGAAATCGGCCACACCTGTCTGTTTTGAGCATCGCTTCAGTAGACAATGTTTCAAAGTAATTCCTTTACTCGATACATACATGTTACATACATACATCAAGTCGATTGTATCCTTTTTTCTTATTTAACCACAAGATCAGCAGATGCGGTCGTGGTCCCATTTCTCTTTCCGGGTGTGTACGTACATAAAACTGTGCAACATAGGCCTTTTGCCTCAATGCTTTCTAAATATTTGGAAACTGTGGACGATTTTAATGTTTATAACAACCAAAAAGCAGACAGGCAGTTCACGTAGTTACACGGGACCGTCACTTTAGCAAGCGAAATCTTGCGCCAGTCAAATACACCATCACAGAAACAAGAACTCCGAGGCGCTCGCTCTGCGTGGCACGTAAGCGACGCGACAGAATACGTAATCAATCTGCTGACTTGTATTTCCACACCAATAAGAAAGAAAGGACCAAAAACATGAACTTTCCTTGAAGTGGCCACTGGAAACACGAGAGCGCTTTAAAGGCAGCCTTCAGGTGCCTTCCACATTGTTTCGCCGGATCGCCCGGATCCACAGCTGCCGTTTCATCGGGTGCAGGCTGGTCGGCGGAAACCTAAAGAAACCCAAGTCGCGACAACCCTTCCTCTCGTTGCTTCAGCTGACAACGGAACAGCGTTGGGGCAAGTCGGAGAACTTGGAAACGCGCGACCACCGCTGCTGTTCGCAGTCCCGAGCCGGGCGCAGCACGCCGCCAAAAATGGCGGACTCCTGTCTGCGGCTTCTGCGCATGCGCCCTGGAAACTCCGGAAAAGGCCAGGGTGTAAGATAGGGTATGTTTCAAATCTTACCCGAGTAACCTGTCTCCTACGTCAGCGGGTAATACCACGTGACATCGCGAGTAAACGATCCGCGAGTCGATTTTGGAACGGCCGGGATAATCACCTGGCTACTACGCGGATTGGCTTCGTCTTGTGCTACGGCAAAACGAAAGCATAGAAGGCTCGATTCTGGAAATAGCAGACGATCTGTTTTGATCATGGAGGAAGCATTCGAAGAGACGATGATATTAACCGCTGCGAAGTTTTTCTTTGATAGTGACGACGCGGCGGAGGAGTGGGAAATCCTAGAGAGTTTTACAACGAAGAAGAGGTAAGGAAACATTTTCTGATAAACTTTAAAGCGGCATTTAGCGCGCTAATCGAAAAAGTATCCAGAGCGTGCTTCATTGGCACACCTTGCAACGCCGACTTGAAGCTTATATTAGTTATTGTATACAAATAAAAGCGAAACTATTCACTCCGATGAGAGTGAATTACGTATTCACTCTCATCTATTCAATAAGCTGCGTGGGACGTAAAATATAGAAAGGCAACATAAAAGAACATTTGGCCGTCATACGTATTTTAGTAAATTATGTCCTGCGTGTGGGCTTTATTTATTTCTTTAGCTTTTATATAATGTACCATGAACGTCCACACTAGCTACGCTTTACGTCTAAAGGAAGACTTCGGGTGGAATCCGTCCCTTCAGTGTGTTTTTTTTTTTTATATATATACACATACACAATTGACTTGTTTGTTCCGAATGAATTGTTTTTGTGTTACCAGGCTTGCATTCTATGAATCACTAGTCACCGGGAAAAAAAGATCACAAATCGCACGTGTGTTATGAGTAGCTGGTTGATTATTGTCGGGGATGGAAACCAACGATAAAGTTTGTATATATTGAAGCAGACACGCGAAACGAATGCACCTGCACTTTAAAACAAATCCTACATAATGTATATACATATATTTTTTTATCATTTCAGGCGCAAAGTGGCCAAGATTTTAGGGTATGCGGAAACTGTTGTCCCCCGCCAGTCTCCCGAGGACTTCAAAAGTCATTTTCGGCTCCGAAGGACTTCTGTTGAGCGCCTAGTAACGTTGCTCGCCCCTCAGCTGCAAGTTCCTCGCGGACGGCCGGCCATAGACGTTACCAAGCAGACTCTGATATTCGTGTGGAGTCTTGCCAACCTGGAGTGCTTCAGGTGACTTTATGGGAACGGGTTATTTCTCGATCTTGAACCAATAATAAATATCCCCAACTCGTTGTTTGTCTATGCGGAGTGCTAGTTCGTATGCTTCTGGCACAGGGGTTGCAATGATGTCAGAACGCCGAGCTCTTAGTGGCTGATTGAAACAAAATAGTGGGTAGATCTCAAGGCATCTAGCGTTGAGATCTACCCACTTTCTCCTTTCATATCAAAGTCATTCAGAGCTCGGCGTCGTTCTGACGTCACCGCAACTCCTACGCAAGAAGCAGATGACTTTCCCTCCGCATAGCTATGCGGAGAGCAAGTCGTCTGAGCAGGATTTCGTTACTTAAATTTTCTGAAATGTCTGGTTGGCTACAATAATTTCTGAAATGTCTAGCTGTTCGGCGCCAGCGAAAGGGCCTCATCGCTTTAAATTTCAGATGACGAAATAAGCGTATACTGTGTATGGGAACGAACTCAAGGTGGTTCATTTTTATATATAATTTAAATGCTGGCTGTTTTTATATTTTACAGGTCTGTTGGAGACCGCTTTGGACTCTCCAAGTCTACGGTGTGCAGGGTAGTGCACCGAGTTGGTCTAGCTGTTTTGACCCAGAGCCCAAACTTCGTGTCGTGGCCGACGGAGAAAAAGGCACTGCATATTATATCCGGCTTCGAGGCGAAAGCAGGCTTCCCTGGAGTCCTGGGAGCAATCGACGGAAGTCATATCGTTTGCAAGGGGCTTCAGGGCAAGGATGCCCAGTCGTACATCAACCGACATAGATTGCCATCGGTGCTCCTTCAAGCTATCTGCGACCACGAGGCCAAGTTCCTTCACTGCAGCGCAGGAGATCCCGGGTCCGTGCACGACGCACGCATGTACAGGCGGTCCGAGCTACCGACGATCTTGACTGCGGACAAGTTCCCCTTCGACAGCCACCTGCTCGGAGATGGCGCGTACCCGCTGCGACAAAGCCTCCTTGTCCCCTACAGGAACAACGGCCGGCTAACTGAGCAGCACAGAAACTATAACACAAAGCACGCAACAACGCGAGTGGCTATAGAGCGGGCCTTTGGGATTCTCAAGGGGCGGTTCCGACGTCTCAAGTACATTGAAGCCCGCCGCCCAGAACGCATTGTCACGACGATTGTGGCAGCCTGCGTCATGCACAACGCGTGCATGGAGTGGCGGGACATCTACGACGGTCCCCTACACACCGAGGACGATGGACCCGCAGGTGACGGTACGGACAGCGACTCCAGCGAGTCCGGTGGGTCCTCCTCGGACGAAGACGACGCACCCACGGCGAGTCGCGACAAGGCCAGGGGCAAGGCAAAGCGAGATTTTATCATGCATAGCCTGTGAAGCCCCGGTATATATGTACATAGTTCATGTTTATTAACAAGAATAGGAGACCAACCTATTTTTTTTATTCTTTATGTATTCATCAAGTTACTGTTAATAATTAAAAACTAGTTGGAACTTTCACATTTCTTTGTGATCCCGTGGTTACGCGAACATGTTAATGATTGTGACTTATATCTTCACACACTCACACAAAATAAATAACATTGAAGGTGAACACATCTTTGCAGCTCTTTGCTCGTCAATTAAAATCTAGATTACAAAGTTTCAAACATCATAGCTCTTCTTCCGCTCTGGCTTTTTCTGCTTTCTTGAGTTCTATAAAATCTTTAAAAAAACAATTAAAATCCTCTAGGGCCTTGACTTTCCTTTCTTCTAAGGCCATTTTTTTGGACAGCAACTCATGTGACTCCGAGAGTTTCGACTTTCTCTTGCTTCCTCGGCTGCACTCCGCCTTCGGCTCCTCTCCGGTTTCCCTGACGCTCAGACCAACTGAGGTGCTCGCAACAGCCAGAGGGACCACCTCCGGCCTTCGCCCGAAGATTTCATCCATTTCCTTGAGGAATGGCCAATCCTTCCTGCGAGATTAATACAGTGCTGAAAGATTTCATCAAAATCTCACTCAAGAAATATAAAAATGGAGACTTGAAATGCGTACCTGTCGTTGCCGCTCTTGGCGTTGTGGTCCTTAACACCTTTATACGCTTTTTTCAAATTTTTCCATTTATTGCAACACTGGTCCTCAGTGACTGGGTACCCCATTTCATTGAGGGTCTCGGCCAGCCTGAAATAAATCACCACCAATTTTTTTAGTGTATTTAGTTTCATGTGACCGGATTGTCCAAATGAACGCTCCCTGAAATAGTAGTCAAAATTGACATTCTGCCTCTTTATATTAAAAGCAAGCCCACCAAACCGGCGAGTTCCCTATGAGTGCAAACATTTTGACTTTTGTAAACATCTCTCATCCTCAGACATGCTCGTGTGAAATGTTACGCGTTGTAGATGTCTAGTTCCAGGTAAGCAAAGACATATTTTCCTTATCTTCGTTAAAAACATAAATAAAATAAAAATGCGTGCTACAAAAAACAAAAAAAAAGAAGAGGGAATTGCCAATACGCAGTTGTGGCACGAGCATGCATTTCCTTCATTTCACAGCGATAATACAAAATACCTGAAAATGTATCGTTTTACCCTTTCCAGAACGTCCTGGAGACAGGATTACTTTTTTTTTCCATCTTGGCACATCGTTCGATTAAGGCCAGTACGGCTGGTCGTGTCCAATACATGTACGCCTCCTTGCTTGGCGTCAATGTTTTTGGAGGTGGCTCCACCGGCTCCACTTGGTCAGCTTCCTTTTGAACTGCATATTGAGATCAAAACTCATTTCAGTTAGACATCAAACATTTGTTTTTATTAGTTAGAGCAATCGCTGTTATTATACTCCAGGTGCCTTATACATATGCGTTCCCCGCATCATAATTTGAATCGATTACAATTTGCGGAAATTTAAAATCATATTCCACGCAGTGTAGCGGTACTCAGTGAAATATGTAACTTAATTACCTTAGTTTTGACGCTGAAAAACAAAAATATATCACAGAGAGAACTTTAAAACTGAACGGCATTTTTTTAGGGTGGGAAAAAAAAAAGGGGGGGGGGGGCGCATGTTGACTGATTATTTACATAAAATTTTCCAAGCCTTCACTGCTTACAAGCGCTATTATGCTTACTCTGGAAAAAAAAGATACTTGCATCTTTATAGTAAAGTAGTAAGCTGGGCGTCTTGGTAAAGGTTGAACACGGTTAGAAATCGCGCACGAAGAGACAAGAACAAACGAGGAAGGAACGTAGAACACAGACGTGCCTGTCTGTGTTGCACGTTCCTCGTTTGTTCTTGTCTCTTTGTGCGCGATTTTTAACAATGTTTATCATCTACTTCATAATTTCATCATCATCATCTACTGTGTTCGACTATTTTCAGCCTTGAACGTACAAGTCCTCAGCCCAATAAACATACACCTCCTTCTCAGCTGGCTGTTTCGGAGGTGGCCCGTCTTGCTCAGCCTTCACATGGGCTGTGTATAGATTGAATACAAAATTATATCTCCTAATTCCGCTCTTCGTCAGAGCTCTGTACCATTACGCAATCATTGTCTTTAAGTATACCGAAATTCCGTGCCCTTCAAATACACCTCGGGCGAAAGGTGCGTTAATTCCGGTGCTCGATTCCACCCAGAGAAAACTGGCAGTGCAACTTTCTCAGTCTAGAAAATAAGAATGTATGTACACGGCATTGTCTGTTGCCGCGTGACAGCGTCGTCAGCGATATTTTATTTTTATTTTCTAGCCAAGTTATACATCACCGAGGAAACGTACACCTCGTCATCGACATTGAACCCAATCCCCGGCAGAGACTTTCTTATAATCCTGGCATATTCAAAGCACGCCAGGAAACATCAACAGATCCCTCGGTGCTTTACCATCCGCATACGTAAACGGGCTTCGTCACATCACCGATGCAAAAAGAAAAACACCACCCTAGACGAAGAAGTAGATCGTCTCACTTACGCACACATGTGCTTAAGTGAGACGATTCTGGAAAATGTATTTTTGAAAGAAACCTGGAATAAACTATTCTATTCTATTCTATTCTATCCAGAGCAAAGCAAATTCATGCAGTCACACCTGAAAAAGAGTCCGAGTAGGCCTCGAAACGTCGGGTCCCTGTAATATAGGGCTTCATTTGACGTATCCTTTTTAATAACTAAGTAATCCGGTCAGTGTCGAACGCCTTCAATCTTGAAAGCATGAACAGCGAGTTCACTCCAACGCTGAGAGCGAGGATGCAGAGAAATTGCTACTGAGAAATATGTGCATACCTGTTCGCGCAAGATGTACGCTGTGAATGTGTTGCACAGCTAACTCATGAGTTGAGAAAGACATGTCGCAATAACCGCACAAAAACGACGGCGTCGAGTTCTCAGCCATTCTTGCAATCTGTCACCGAACGCAACAACGCAAACGAGCTTTGACGGCTGTTAGCGCAGAAAGCAGACGACGAGCAGATCACGTGACCCATTTACTCGATTTGATCCGACGTTACCCCCCGATCGAGGAGGGTAGCGCGAGTAATTACTCCGGAGTAAACAACCCGCTTCTGAAACGCGAGTTGTGACGTCATCGAGTAAGCTCGAGTAAGTTTTGAAACGCCACGGTGCGAAACCTTTACTCTGGGGTCGAATCGAGTAAGTTTTGGAACACAGCCATAGACAGGCGGGGAAACGAGAGCCAAATGAGCGAGCGAATTGTGTCCCTCTCGGTTTTCTCTTTTTTTGTGGCGCCATCTATGTGGAGCACCGCGAACTCTGACTCCGGGTGGGTGACCGGTTGCGACCGGCTAAAGGGACGGAGATGGTTTCTCGTGGATTTTCTATGGAGGACTGTCGTGCTCTCGGTTTATTTTCGGCACTCTCCCATAAAGTTTCATGCAAATCTAATTCCAATTTTTTTCTTCTCGCCGCAGCGCCATCTGTCGCAAATCGGCGGTACCCGCAAGCAGATGGGTACACAATCCGGTCACGGTGCTGCGGTAGGCTTCTGTGGGCCGTTTCCCCACCTGTCTATCTTACACCCTGGAAAAGGCCCATTCGGGGCGACGTGTGCCCGAGTTCCAAAACCGACGTGAGACGCACGTAGACTGCCAGCGTGAGATCCCCCCTCCCCCCCCCCCCTGCTTTGGAGCCCTCTTTGTGCTCCTTGGCCCTAACAAGTGTCTTAGGGCGTCACTGAGCTAGGAAGAAGATTAGGGCTCGTCAGGAAGAGTTTACGTTGTTCCAAACCGACGTCTCTTTAACGCGCTATCACAAACGCAATATGGTTTCCCTCTTTGGTGACTGGTAAAATTACAGACTTATAGTCTTTTGCAACAAAAAGGCTGCACAAGAGATTCCACTCTTTCTCCCCACTTACACACAAAGAAAGAAAAAAAAAACGATTCGGTTAATGTTTAGTTTGCCAAGACGTGTTGGGTATTATACGGGCATTAGTTTAGTAGGACTCTAATCCTGAATACTGGGCCCTACCCAATATTCCTCTCCCACGTGACATGAGAAAAGTATTGTGTTGGTACTGAGAGGTGTATTGACGCAATTTCTCGTAACCAGGGGGCGGAAACTCTTCCGCGGTTCCGATGGGGCACCATACTTTCCCCTATTTTAATGTATTTTTGTTGCATTTACATGCGTCTTTCAGTTGGACAAGAACCTTTTCTGAAACAGTCCCCAATGGTGGTCAGACAGTGTTTCGAAATATAAAATAAAATTTGATTTCGTAAACCTTTTTTTCAGGAGTTGTTTTAAAAGCCAACGTTTTCGTTTTACAAAGTGCTATTATTACGTAACCATGCACAATCTGCAGATAAAAAAGCCAGCAAAACTATGCAGATCATAGTGCAACTCTAGCTGAGCATAACGCTATAGTGCATACCTGCTCTACCATAGCCTTCAGATTTCCCCTCACAAAAAGACAAGAGCGTGTATTCAACTCGGCCTGTTCATCAAGGGTCCTTCTCCTCAAGCCTCATTTTATTGTTTACGTACTTTGAACTCGCAAAACTAAACGCAGCTATAGATGGGAAACTTGATGACGCGTAATTAAACCCTCGACAGGCAAAGGAAAATCAAGGGGAGTACATACGCGATATTTTACATAGATGCTAGGTGATATCCATAATGGCGTATGTTCTTAAACTGCCCCTAGTTTTAGATTTGTGAAATTCGTTTCGAGCTGCTCAAAACCTTAGTACCATATCAGCACAGAAAAAGCAGTTATTATTACCTCAGGATAATATTCTTTTATTCAGGCCACAATCTGTTATTCCAACATACGAATCTAGAGTTTTAACAGCACGAATATTGAAAATTATATATAAAAAACAATATCCCAGGAGAACAAAAATGTCAATTCAAGAGGGCTACAATTTGGAAAATCACAGTGATCGAGGACCTGTGGTGTGCCAAAACCAAACTGCGTAGGCGTCACTGTGTTGAGCCTTTCAAGCGCTCTTTTGTCTGGCGACATTGAAGGCGGCGTTACAGTAGTTCATAAAAAGGAGAGCACAACCTTAGGATATCCGGCTGCCGAGAAAATGAATTATCAACCGACACTTTCGCTCTCGCTTGCGCTATAGACAACTCCAACTTTTACTTCTGAACTATAATCCCGTTCAGGCCACTGTTCTGAGTTAAATATTCAACACAATAAAATATGTCTTGCCTGCTGCATTCTAAGGGAACACGACGCAAGAATTACCTTGCGTCGTGTTGGGATTACAAGGACTTTGCGCAAGTTAATTAAAAAAAAACAAATTTCACAGTTTATTTTTTCTAGAAAAGTGATATCATGGTAAGCAAGAATATTTTTTGTATATTCATGTATTATCGTGGTTCATTTTGTGCTCATAAAAGTTTTTTTATGCGGATTTAAAGTGGAATTTAAATGTTAACTACGCTGTTTGTGAAGCTTATGACAACCTTTGGTACATGAAGCGTGATTTGAATCACTCTTTTTATATAAAGCTCACTGCATACAAAAAATCAGGTAAAACCTGTTAGAATATGCTTCTTAAGTTTGGGATCCGCACACAGCTACTAAAGTTGACAAATTAGAGGCGGTGGAGGGATTTGAACTGCACTTCATATGCAACCAATACAAAAGAAACGAATAGGTTGCTCCACTTTACGGGATCGCTAAATTTAATTTTTTTTATTAACTGGGCGTCGAGAGCGCGACAAAATTAGTCTCTATGCTGTATGTTAATTAGTGATTTTAAGATAGATACAGCAAACTATTTACCTCCTCGGCTTTTTTTTGCACCAAGAATTCTTTCCCTTCCCTTTCTGTGTTATAGTACCTCGTCGAAATTCTTGTTTTTCCAAGTACCATGAAGGAATCAAATACCCTTTCTGAAGCACATGCAAATTTGACACCATCTGATTTATTTGTCAACGCTTTGGGAAGTTGTTCAGGGAAATGTTTGTTGTGAAATTTTCGCTTACAAATCTACTGAGAATGTTCGCGTCTTTTTTCCGGATTTTTTGTAGTTTCATATGCGAATAACTCGTTTAACCGCTCCTACCACAATCTCCAAAAGACGGTTAGTAGTATGTGTAAATAAACAAAAATAATAAAGCATTAAACGACTGCGTTAAACAATTAAACGACAAAGATAAGGAGAAATACGCCATATTGATGCAATTTTATGAATTATAATGCAATCAAATTCAAAGCTGCAAGCGAGCTGTATAAGAATGACGAAAATAATCCCTGGAGAAGGGGAACAAG